GTAGATACACTATGAAAACGACCCGCATTAAAGAAATGCAATATCTAAAAATCTGTGGCCACTGATATGATGCTCTTCATTAGATTTATAGATTAGTAAGTCGAGTCGTTAGCATCCAATGCAGTACTTTGCTGAGTCCAAAAAGTGGATATGTCAGGATCCATAGAGGATCAGCAAACACATTAAATAAATAGCATCATACTTCCTTATCTATTGTTAACACTATAAACATCTTTACTTGAACCAAGGTCTTCTTCCTTCTATACTCCCTTAGAACATGTGTTAATATTGAAATCAAGGTTTATTTTCTTACAGATATGTGAATTTTATCAGCTCCACTCTTAATCATAACACAGATTAACTAAACATTTTCATTTTAAAAGAGAAAATTCTCAATTCAGTACAGGAATGGGCTTCCTTCCTTCCTCCCTTTCTTCTTCCTTTTGTCCCTCCCTTTCTCTTTTCTCCCTTTCTCTTTTCTCTCTCTCTTTCATTCTTTCTTTCTTTCTTCCTTTCTTTCTTTCTTTCTTCTTTCTTTCCTTCGTTCTTCCTTCCTTTCTTTCTTCCTTTCTGTCATTTAACCATTATTTCTCATTGCCTAATTTACTTTCATCCTTTCTTTATAAGTTGGTTAGAGCATCGTTGGTTACTCCAAGACTGTGGGTTCCTTCCCCAGTCAGAGCACATACAAGAACCAACCAATGAATGCATAAATAAGTGGAACAACAAATAGACTGAGCATAGGGAGTGAAGGATGGGGGGGGGGAATTCATGATACTTTTCCATATTTCTGATGGGGAAAATGATAAAATGATGAAATCATTCTCAAAGAATGTCCTTCTGAGTGAGTGAGGTGGAAGAGGAGGGCAGTGTTCAGCTTTGTGCAAGGTGAGTCTTAGATACCCATGAGCCAACTGTGGTGGTAGAGGAGGGATGTTCAATATACTATTGAAAAGTAGTGTTCAGAATTCAGGAGGAAGACCATGCCCAGGGAAATAATTGTTTGTTTGTTTTTAAATTGTGAATGTGAAGGAGATATTTCCGGGAAAAAGTATAGATAAAGAGGAGAGAAAGTTCTAAGGAAAGAACACTAAACAGTAACATCCACCAATGAACAGATGAAGAAGTGATGGTCAGGAGGTCCAGAAGCTTCAGAGGGCTGGGAGGAATATACAAAGGTGTTTTAACAATAACACTTGGCAGGTGATCTACCACCATCTTCAATTCATTTTAAGTGATCAGAATTCTACATGCCTCTAATGCATTGTGTATATTCTAATTCATATAGGCATTGTTAGGAAGAAGGTTTTGCAGAATACAGAAAGAAATAGTTTGGATTCATAAACATGTATTTTGGAAAATTATTTTACCTTTAGGGTGGTAGTAGCTGAAAACAAAAACAAATCAAAACAAACAAACAAAGAAAAATAGCACTCCTTACAAAGAGAATAAGAGAATAGATCAGAGTAACCTCACATACTTTGTGTGCTTCCAAATAAAATATTAATGATATTACTAATAATGAAAATAGCAATGTTAATGATAGAACAGATACTTCTATAGAGCCTACGATGTGCTAGGCATGATATAAGCACTTTAAAAAAAAAACTCAGCAGAGGATATGTTTGGAGAGAGGAAGGGACAGAAAGAGAGAGAAATATCAATTGGTTGCCTTCCTTACATGCTCAGATCAGGGATCGAACCCACAACCCAAGTGTGTGCCCTAATTAGGAATCGAACCAGCAACCTTTCGGTGCACAAGACAATGTTCAACCAACTGGGCCACTCCAGCCAGGCCCATCTAAGCACTTTATATATTTCAACACATATAATTTTATAGTAATTCCCAGAGAGACAAACTATTATTTTCAATTATTTAATGGGGAAGTTGAAGTAGATGAAGATAAGAAATTTTACCGAGTTTACATTATAAGTTAGTAAGTTACATGGATTTAAACCCAGACAATTTACCCTTACAGGCCATGTTCTTAACCATTAACCATATAGCCTCACAAGTTAACCAATGTATACATTAACCATTTTCCTTGGGTGTATAAAAATTTTATTCCTTTATCAGTTATATCATTATGATGGATCATTATGCATAAATAAAATGATGTAACAACAATAACAATATCAATGTTGATAGCAACTGCTACAACTTCTATACATTACTATCATGTAATGAGTACCATGTATAAAATTCTGAAGTGCCAGACATGATTGAGCCCATACTCCAAAGCCTCAGCTTCTTAGCACTGCATTCTGCCCTGGGTTAAAGGGGAAATGCCACACACAATGACTGGACTTAGTTCTGATGTGTAAATGACGGCTCAAAAGCAGAATTTGATGGAGACTACTGGGCACCTAAAAGGGAAAATTTAAGCAGTTATTTGGAGTAAACAGTGATTGGAATACTGATAACATTCTACAAACACTTCATCAAATTACACCCTCTCTAGCATCTAGAAAGGATCAGTGTATTAAAAGGCAGTTGAGTAGATCATAGAGCCCTAACTGTATCTAGCTCTATCTTTGCACTTGCATCTCATTATGCTGTCATTTCCTGTTTGAATGTCTATCCAATGATGCAGACTGCAAATTCTAGACATCAGTGATTATATCATGGATTTTCCCCCCTAAATCTTAGGTGTGGGACCAGCAGTACATAGTTGGGGCTTCATAATGGTTTGAAAAACACGAAATAAATATATGTATTAGCTATCGCATTTTATTTTGCAATAAATTTTATGCAAAAAATTTTACTATGATCACTTAAAATTGCATCATAAAAAAGTCAATAATGATATTAGGTAATATGTTTTATGATCTTTTATTTCTTAGGGATATAAACCTATTTTAAATAAACAATTTCATCAGTTGCTTCACTATCACACTCCCCTTTTATTTGATGTGTTTTCCTTTCTTTTTTCATATCCTTACATTTTTAGTTATAGTGTCTTAAACAATTATTCTGAAGTAAAAAAAATATTATTTACTAGCTGCACAGAATTCAGTTTCACTTTTTTTTTCAGTGACTATCTTGAATGGCAAAAGCAAAGAGATGAAATGGTATTAACAAGAAAAAAAATACCGCAATATCAAATCAATATTTGCATTTCTTGAAAGTAAGACTATGGGATTTACTAGCACTTTATATGCAGTACATACCACAGCCCATCTTTGTGAAATAAATAAATGCAGTATAATATTTGAACTTGCCTATGAATCAATTCATTTTTTTTATTATGTATAAGGTCATCTGAAAGTGATTACTACATCATCAGCTCCATTTATACTTCCCATGCTTATCAGAAAGTACAGTTCCAAGTCCCTCCTCAGTTGGGTTGGGGCCCTATGATGGAATCAGAATTCTGCAGGATGAGAGCAGAATTACCATACCCTTGAATTTTCTTTAAATTATCTCCCTTTACCACAATCATCTTATTGTCTCAAGCGTGGAAGCTAAGGATAAATGATGGTGGATTCCCCTGATGTAGAGATAGGAACTTGAGTCACTAATTGGAAAAGGGCAACTCAAGAGAACCACTTAACTCAGATGTAAGAAAAAATATGTTTAGAATATTCATTGATGTTGGGTATTCTGTATTATTATACTGAGGATAAACCAAGGTCATTGTGTAGGGATGAGGAGATGAATTGGGGCCGGGGTGGGGGGAACAGAAATGGAGTTTGAAAATGATGGAGAAAAGAAAATTACATCTCTCCACTTAATCAGAATCAGACTGATTCTTTACCTTCTAAAGATGTTGCTCAAGAGTACAATTTATCATGTGAAAATATGTGAAAAAAAAACTTAAAAGATGAAAGATGAAGAATAAATGAGAAATAAATTTTAGTAGGTCTTTTACCCAAGTTTTGCCTTGTTCCAGATTTCTGGATGAATTGCATATAAAGGTGGGTCAACACCAGATACATAGAACTACAATGTGGCCAAACAGATATCAATAAGCTATTTCTACACTTTGAGTCTAGTATGAACTAATTAATCTTTTTAGCAAATCATGTGGTCACTTGACAATGAGGAGGAAAATAAGATTTTCTCTATAATGTGGTCTTGCAAGTCACATGGCAAAGAGCAGTAATGTATAATTCCTCTTACTGGGAAAGGGGAAACATGATTGGGAGTGATGACATTGTTTTCAAATTTTTAACTTCAAACTTTGCTATGATTATTAATATTATCCTATGAGACTAAATTTATTTCAAAGAAATAATGTGAAAGCAATAAAAAGATTCTGCCATGTGATCACTAACCTTTCTAGAACTGGAATAAGAGAGAAAGTATTTTGTTTTGTTCTTTTTAAAAAATATATTTTATTGATTTTTTATAGAGAGGAAGGGAGAAGGATAGAGAGTTAGCAACATCGATGAGAGAGAAACATTTATCAGCTGCCTCCTGCTCACCCCCTACTGGGGATGTGCCAACAACTAAGGTACATGCCCTTGACCTGAATCAAACCTGGGACCCTTCAGTCTGCAGGCCAACACTCTATCCACTGAGCCAAACTGGTTAGGGTTGTTTTGTTCTATTTATCATCTTTCAGAACAATGATCCTAGATTTCTTTAGTGGGTTTATCATAAAACACTTTGATGAGTAAAAAGACTAATATATCGAGATAAAGAGAGCACTCTGGTAAAATAGAAAGACATAAATGGCTAGATGAGTTTGCAGCACTTGATCTTGTGGGTGTCTCTTATGCACACTCAAGAAACTGATAGAGAAGACCTCCTGTGGTTTCATAGAACATTTCATCTAATTTAAATTCATACTGCCACCTGCTACCACTGCTCTTGTTGCTATGAACTGTAATGACTAGACATAGAATTTACCAGAGCTTGATAGCACTCTGGGGGGAAACATGAATGTTTTCTTTGTAATTGCTTTTGTTTTGGTTTTTTTTTCATGCAAAGAAAAAATAAAATCCATCAAATCTCAAAGTTAATAAATACTTCCTATGAACTGAGAATGTAAGGGGGGGAGGAAAGGACTTTGTAAAAATATAAACTGTAATTCCTTTTCAATCTTTTCATTGCTAGGCTTGGAAATAGAGAAAAGAAATTTGTGGGTATACTTTGGGTGGATTGCTAACACTGTCTACTGGACATGCTGATATTATTGATCCTATAGGAGTATGTGAGTATGTAATACACATAATATTATGTTTTAATGTCAGAATATACATATATATAATAGTGCAGCAATTAAAATTATATTTTAATTTAGATTTCATTAAATTATGAAAGTTGGATATTCATATAATAAGAAAGACTTGGAATAAAATATTGCTGATAAATAAGTTACTTTAGCTTACTACTTTATAAGTTATGATATGCATTTTTCACTATGATGAATTGATTGATTGATTGATTGATTTTAGAGAGACAGAAACTTTGATTTGTTGTTCCACTTATTATGGATTCATTGGTTAATTCTTGTATGTGCCCTGCCCAGATATAGAACCTACAGCCTTGGCATATCTTGATGACACTCTAGACAACTGGGCTACCCTGATAGGGCCAGTTTTTATTATTTAGAAATGATATAAAATATTTCTCCATATGTTTTCAAGTGAACCAAGTTTAAGGCTGACAATTTTTTAATTAACAAGGTTTGATTGCTTTGTCCCTCTAATGCTTGGCTTAGCTTCTATATTAATGCTGTTGCTTATAAGCAATTCTTATTAACTTTGAGTTTTCCAGATACCTTGACAGGAGGATAATAAAAATAGAAATTTCTGAAGGTTGGTTACTTACAAATAATTTTTGTTATGCAAATGTGAACTCCACCAAATAATTAAATTTTTCAACAACCCATACTGAGCATATAAATGAAAACTTACCTTTGGTGTACATTGCTAAATTGTTCCTCAAATTTAAGGTTATTCAATTAATAGAAATATAAGTTTCTACATATATTTTATTTTTTACATTTGAAGGAGAATAGGAATCTAATTTTAGTGTTTTGAGATATCTCTTTAGAGCTTTGATACAAAAATAAAATATGTTGTTACCCTGAACTTAAATTTTGCTTTTTTCATGATGCTTAAAGTGAAGCTCAGGAGTAAATTTGACATTTTTGTTAACTCATTTACTCCATAAACGTTCTCTTTGTTATCTAGAGAAGCTGATACAATTTGCCTCATTCTAATTTTTATTATATCTTCTAATATAAGAATGCTAGAAAAAATAACTAAGAGGATATATATTAGCCACATTTTAAGTTCATATGTACTAGGGATATGTAATAAATACACCTATCTGTCCCTCTAGGCATCTAAAATGATCAAAGTTCATGATTTCCTTATTTCTTTCTTTCTCCTCTTTCTCATCCATATCTATCCTCATTTCCTCCCTTCTCACCTAATTTGAAAGAGCACAGATAACTTATCACAAAGCTAGACTATTAAAATGGCAAAGAGAATCAAATAAAGTTAAAGTAATAAAAACACTGAACATCTATGAACCTATGATCAAAACATTGTAGTGTAATATTAAATTTAAGTCTCAGCTCCCTCACAGACAACTACACCTGAGCCCGCTTTCACTTCCACCAAGAAAAAACAGATGAGTGGATTTAAAAATGGTGGTACATCTATACAATGGAATACTATGCTGCTGTAAAAAAAAAGAAACTCTTACCATTTGCAACAGCATGGATGGACCTGGAGAACATCATGCTAAGTGAAATAAGCCAGTCAGAGAAAGATAAATATCACATGATCTCACTCATTTGTGGAATATAATGAACAACATAAACTGATGAAGTAAAATAGATCCAGAGACATAGATGCATCAAACAGATCATCCAACCTAAGAGGGAAGGCGGGGGGTGGGGTGGGGGTGGTGAGAAATCAACCAAAAGACTTGTATGCATGCATATAAGCATAACCCATAGGCACAGACAGTAGAGGGGTGAGTGATGCGCTGGGGGATGGGAACACCCCAGGAGAGGCCAATGAGGGAAAAAGGAGCCATATGTAATACTTTAAACAAGAAATACTTTTTTTAAAAAAGAAAAGAAAAGATGATGATGATGGAATCCTCACTGTTACATTGGCTTTCTTTCAGTTCCCCAATGAGCCACACTTCCCTCTGACCCTTAGTAAAAGATGACCAATGCCACCTGTATTGGATTATTCACAATTCAATTTCTTCTGCTTTTTTCACAGCTTCATTATGTTCTAAATTTAATATATAGCCTTTAATTTTTTTAAAATTACCAGAGGTTGTAAATTATGAAAAATCAAGTACTTATACAAAGTACTCATACTTAGCTAGCTTTGTGAATTTAAACAATTTTATTGGGGCTGTATTTCTAAAAGATATACCTTTTTATGCTGTGATTTTAAAAATTTAATTAGGAACTTGCAGGTATAATTATCTCTCTCTGTAATTTTTCCACATGATTCTTTAATAGTTGCCTTTATAAATATATCTATGCCATTAACTTTTGTCACCACAGATCCCTATGTTCATGTGAGACTGTCCCTTTTGCCCATACCTCATTGCTTTAATCACTCAGACATATGTTGAGTCTTGGTATATGGTGAAGTAATTCTTTTAACTTTAATATGTGTGTGTATATCCAGAAAATACAGGGATTGGCAAAACTAGGTTTACAGTCGTTTGTGTGGAAAATAAGACAATAATTAATAAATAGTAATACAAGAATAAACTCTGTGTTTCATGTACTCGCAGCTATAAATCCACTGTTGCCCCACCCTGTATATGAAAACACGTAAAGAATTAATAAACGTAAATAACAGAATACAGACAACCAGTTTTTAAATGGATAAAAGGCCAGAATGGGCACTTCACACACACAAAAGACATCAAAATGATTAATAAACACAAAGTGCTAAATTCCATTTTTAATCAAGGAAATGCCATTTAAAATGGTACCCCACCGGAAGTAAAATTAAAAAAGGAAACAACAATGTAAATTTCAGGGAATGATGCCATTTGAACTCTTGCACATTACTGGCAGGAAAGTAAATTGGTACGAACCTCTTGGAAAAATGATTGCCTATAACTTATACAATTGCACATACACACAATCTGTAAATTAGTAATTCCACTCCTCATATATATGCAGTGGAAATGGATACATAGGAACATCAGGAAACATGTATTAGAATGTCCACAGCAGCATTAACATAGGAAAAACACACAAACGTGGTAATTAACAGTTAAATGGGCAAATAAATTAATATAAGGAAGTATGATAGAGCCGGATTGTTCTGTCTATACAGCAGCCATTAGCCACATGGTACTGCTGAGCACTTGGAGCCCTAGACTAATTAGAGTTGAGATGTGCTGTAAGTGCAAAATACACAGTAGATTTCGAAGATTTAGTAAAAAAAAAAATATGTAAAATACCTCATTCAGAATATTTATATTGGTTACATGTTAAAATAGCATTTAATATATTGGATATCAAATATAAGACTTAAGATAAATTTGTATGATTAATCTATGGTTCTTTCAATTTGTGGCTACCAGAAAACTTAAAATTACCTATGTGGCTCAGGTTATTCACTGATGGACAAAACTGTAATAAAAACATTGAAAAAAAAGAAAACAAAAAACAAAACAAACAAACAAAAAAACTATTGCCACCTTAACAATATAGGTGAATCTGACAGCATAAATGTATGAGAGCAATACATGCCTATCCTTTCACCTATATAAAGTTTAAAATAGACAGTACTAATCTATGGAGCTTACTTTTGTTTGGGGTAACAAGTGTGAAATTGAGGGCTCACTTAACAACAATTATTTTGACATGGTTAATATTTATGTGGGCACCTTTATTTTATATACTTTCACTAAGCTAAGATTCATGCACTTTACTTTATGTATGGTGTACTTTAAGAAGAAAGGTTTCTAAAATATTAATGGTGATATTAGTATTGATATTAATACCATTCATCTCTTCCTGCCCAAGCAGGTTCTGTTTGCCTGAGATGCTTTTGGGTCTCTGAAGTGAAATTCATAACCGACATTTACTAGCAGCACTTTTTAAGGGCTTTGCATGTATCATCACTTTTAAATCTCACAAAACCCACATTGCAGACAAAAAGAATGTGGCTTAGGATGGTTAAGGGCCTTTCCTCAGGCTGTCATAACTGGTTAATGTTGGAAGTAGGTCTTCGGCAGAGATCTAACTTACTCTAAAGCGTGGAGTTTCTGCCTCCCACACTCACAGACTGTCTCAGCAAAATGTTCCTGATTTTCATTCTCTCAAAGCCAAGATAGCTCTGATATCACACCATAGTGCAGTATTAATGCTGTATTATTTTACAATCTCTTGGATAACAATCATGTTAAAGGCCTTGACCCAGAAAAAGGTGTACAATGTTTCAGATGAGGTCAGTGAAAGAGGTTTTTTTTTTTGCATATAGTTTTACTATGTGAGATGATCTTCTTAGTTTAGATGAAAAAAGACCAAAACAAAACAACAACCTGCTAGATCTGCTGACAGAATTTTACTTTTTCTATGAAAATTATCCTTATGCAAGCACATTTCCCTGATATTTAAAGTATATTTTTGTCATAGTTTCTTTTATAACTTAGCATATCTAATTTGTCTGATGTCATGCCCTCAATTTACAGGTTTTTTCAGCAGGAACTTGGTTCTATTTGGATAGTTGCTGAAATGCATTATGTTTAGCTCTGACATTATCATCTGATTTTAAAAATTGCCCTAAAGTGTTCAATGTGGAAAAGTGTGCAAAACTTTGCAATTTTTTAAGACCAAATGATGTGTGTTATCTACTGACACTTGTCCCCTTATATCTGAAATTTATTTTATTTAAATCCCCTTGTTATTAATCTTAGGCTGTGTTATTTATTTATAATTTTAAATATTTTATTTTACTCTAACATATGGCTATAAATAAATATACATGGAATATGTGACATATATAATGTGTTCTGTACTTAACAGTACATAACATAGAAGGTGAGCTTCCAATACATGACATTTCCTGAGTAATACCAGTATTTTTGTTATTCATGGTGGGTTCCTTGGACCACACCAGATAGTTCATGCTAACAAAGTGACTTGGGGTGGGTCCAGCCACACTTAATAGTTTTAGGGTAGAGAGTTGGCCATGTCGGAAAGACCAACCATTGTGGTGGAGACATTCTGATCATGAATTCAATCTCCAGACTGAGTTTAACCCCTTGATCAACTCATCAATTAATCCTGCCTAGATATGAACCCTGAGTATAAACGCTGGACACCAAGGCTCAAGTGAGCTTCCCTGGTTGGCAATATTCTGTGCATATTCTCACACATCATACTCAGGAGCAGGCAACGCTGCTCAACGTCTACAAAGGAAAAGGACAATGGGATTGGAAGCTCCACATTTGGGCCCCTCCCAGATTGGCCCTAGGCATCTCTTCTGTTAGCTGCATCTGACTGGTATCCCGTCCCCTTTAATAAATGTAACTGTGAGTCTATTAGATTCGGTGAGTTCTGTGAATTTTTCCAATGAATTATTGAACTTGAATAGTTAGGGAAACTTCTGAACTTTCCATTATTTTCCACCTGGGGGAAATTTGGCAGTCTGAAGGACTGTACATTTAGCCTTGTAATTTGGCTAATTCCAGGTAACAGCTAATATAACAAATTCAATTTGTTGTACTAAATTATTCATAGAGATTGTTTACTGAGTAAAATGGCAATTCCTAAGGTACCAATGGAAGTCAATGCCAGTATGCAAATTTTCTATAATAACTGTATCATGTGTACCAAATAAAATGCATTTTATAAGGCTGTGGGGTCCTCTTTAATAAATTAGATCAGTTAAGCTAATAAAACATTGGCACAATAAAATAATCCATTTAATAGGTTTCTGGTGTGTTTTGCTAAATTTGTAATCACAAGGCTTGGAATTTCCTAAAGTGTAATGATTAGAAGCATCATCAGGGATATTTAAATTTTAAATTTCTTATTAAATACAGATTCTCCAAATGTGACTCTTTGTGGGAGTGGGGTTTTTTGTTTGTTTGTTTGTTTGTTTGTTTGTTTTGAAATAAAAGTTTGACCAGAGTTTGACTATTCAAACCTCCTTTACAAATTGAGACTTGTTCATTTCTATATCACACTCATAAACCTATCAGATCAGATATCTGAGTAAGAAATTTATTTTATTGTATTTTTAATATATCTTTACTGATTTCAGAGAGAAAGGGAGATGGAGAGAGAGATAGAAACATCAATGATGAGAGAGAATCATCTATTGGCTGCCTTCTGCATGCTCCCTACTGGGGGTTGAACCAGCAACCTGGCATATACCCTGACCAGGAATGGAACCTTGACCTCCTGGTTTATAGGTCGACATTCAACCACTAAGCCACCTTGGCCTGGCAAAAATGTGTTATTTAATAAATAGAAAGATGATTTTACAATCTTAAACCCATTAATTTCATTTGTTACAATTCAGGTATGAAACTGCAAACTGAAAATTTTCTACATTGATATTAGAATTTGCTTACAGTGTGAGATTAACTGTGATGTACATGCATTTTGGCAATTAAAAGCTCATGTGTGACTTTTCCCAAGAGTTACAAAAAAGCAATTTTGTACTTCCTGCTTTTGTGTTCTTTTTCCAAAACGACTATGTTTTGAAAGAGAATACTTTCATCAAATAGCAACTTTAGAGTTTCCTCAAAACTGCAACATGCAAATGAGCATTCACATGCTATCATTGAAAAATATTTAAGGGCAGTATTTAATTTGCAATTATATTCCGAATAAATTCATGATCAATTACCTTTATTATTTGATATTATTACTTTGGAAAAAAGAAACTTTACAAATGCTGTTTTAGGAGACCTGCTCACAAAGGATTATATGAAGCACCGCCAAAGCTTTGGTCTATTTGATTTATTTCATAATGCAAGTTGGTTTGGAGATATTTGCTCGAGTTAGACAGGTCTATAAAATTCCTTTTGAACTGCTGCTCTTCCTCTAATGTTTTGTTGTGGAAGACTTCAGCAGGTGTTAAATCTTGATTATCCTTGGTTTCTATGTTTATTTTCTCTGATCTTGGGAAGTTTATTAGAATGATCTTCTCCTCTTTAATGTTATCATTTTCCTATGAATGGGATCAAAAATTGTTGAATCTTAGGATACACATGGTAGATTAAAGACATGTTAGTTATGCTCCAATGACAACAAAAGGAATAAAAGAAAGCTATAAACTCAGAAGATCAATGAGGCAAGGATAAGAAAAACAAAAACAAAAAACATCATTCATGTGTTTTTTATGATGGCTCTGAAGGTTAATATTTATCCAATGAAAGCATCTAAGCTGTTCTGTGTTATTTTCTCTGACCTCAAGGTTGCCTGAGGAGGAGGGGTTACCCTCACCAAGGAAGCGCTAGGAATAGCAAGCCAAGAGAAATGAGAGTTTTGCTGAAGTTGTTATATTCCAAAGCATCTAAACTTAGCTGATGATTTTTTTACTGAATAACCTGTAATTCATGCATAACTCAAGGAAACACTTGCACTAGAGACTAGAAACAGGTCACATGAACCTGAAGGAGATGCATGTATATACAATTGAAATATACAAGAAATTGAAGACATCGGAGACTCAATGATTTCCCTGAGCTGAGCTGGTCTACACTACAGAGGCTCATCTCCCATAACCAGGCATACTAAAGTTGAGAATAATTTGGGGACTGCAGAAGCTGAACCCGGGAGTGATGAGATCTCCATTATGTTATGTTGCTTTTACTGGACTTTCCTAAAAACTGAATGAATGTAACTATCCATTTAAACATAAAACCCCAGCTGCTGAGTGGAACACAAAATATAACTGATAACCAATTCAGCAGAGAAAGATGCAACATATAGGCTGTCAGAAAAATAAAAAGAAGGAAACCATGATTGTATTTGCTACAAGAGAATGGAAGGCTCATGACTGTTGTAATAAGACACATGAAAGACAGATATGGTGGTGTTGAACTGTGGAGTTAAAAATAGAAAAATTATATGCAAAATTTTGAGTCGGAGGTTTTCTCTTTTATCCCACATAGGGAGGCCACTGCTCCTTCCTTTATGCTCTCTCCTCCATGCTCAGACTAGAGGCTGCTATTCGGAAGAAACAGAATTAGCGAGTACCTGCACATAGGGACCTCAGGCACCATAAAGCCAAAGATGTGACTGAGGACTTAAAATAAGTAATTCAATTGAAAACCTGTTACTGAGCAGGAAAATATCCTAGAGACCCACCCACTTGCTCCAGCGCTCATCCAGCCAGAGTATATACCCCCTACTCCCAGTTCCATCACATCTAGAAAAAAATTAGGAGATTTTTTGGTAGAGAAACACTTGTTCTAAAGATAATACATGCATTATACTAGCATTGCATCTATGAATGTAGCACATTTGACTTTTTGAAGTTGATTGACAATTTTTGTCCTTATATAATTTAGAGTGAGTTCATTCTGTAGCATAAATTGACTGTCTAGGTCCCTAGATATTTACTGAGAATGAAAACGTGGAAAGGAAACGAATGGAGCATACAAATATGTTGAGAAAATTGGAGAAAACTGAGACAATGCAGTTAATCTTTTTTAGTGCAGGAAAATATTTCAAAGCAAGATGAAAATGATAATTAGTTGATATTCTCTACAAAAAAGGAAAGCTCTTTCATGCATAAAACCAAAACAGAATCTAAAAAAAAACAACCATGCTAGAAAGATAAATAAAAAAAAAGCAATAATGCTTTGACATTTGAAATAAGGTAACAAAAAATGAAGTTACTGCCAAATACCAGAAATAAGAACAAAAAATTAAAAGACAAATAAAAGAAATAAATGCTAAATGCTTGCATGATTAATTCAGGAGACTCATTAGTAGACTATTAGAGTTCTGGAATTAGACTATTCAGAAGTTCCAGAAAATAAAAAAAGGTAGAGAAAATTGTCAAGGGCAATTGAAGGACATGGACTCTAGATTGCAATGGCTGGACAGATGACCAGGGCAATCAATTTAATCCTCCATCACCCCTTATCACACATTCCTAAACATTCATACACCACAGTGTATGTCTGTTAAACTATGAAATATCAGAGATAAAGATGGAATTAAAATTCTTTTAGAGAAGATAACATTTTAAAAAGGAACATTAACAACTAAAAGTTCATACAAAATAATCAGGAAAAAAAATGACTGTGCCTTCTTAAGAGTAACATCAAGTTCTTAAATACAATATAGCAATATATTTTTAATCCTGAGAGAAAATGATTTTCAGCCTAGAAATCGGCATAAAGATACACTTTTAATCAGAAATCAGGGAGAGTAAAGATATTTTGAGATATGTGAAGAGGAAAAATTAACCTCTCCTGCACTCAGGAAACTACTAGAGAATATGTCTCATCAAGATGAAGGCGGGAAAAAAGAAAAAAAGAAAGGGGAAGGCGAATCTAGAAGGAGATGGGGAAGCTAAGATGGATGAAGAGAGAGAGAAAGCTTTAATTGGTCCTGGGGTGAAAATGTTCCAGATTGGAGCAAGAGGGCACCAATAAGACTGTGCATGATTAGGGTTTGGACTTGATAAATTATCTGAAGGAATTGAACATGTAAAAAACAACACTGCGAGGTGTTTAAGAACTATACACATGATAATTATAAAAACAGAAGCAACTGCAGAAGAAAAGTAGCAATTATTAAGTTAGGGGAAAAGAAGCAAAGAAAAAAGTCATTCATGAGTGCATCAGTGCCTTCTAATGAGTGTTTTACACAGAAGAAGCCCGGAACTACATTTTCTAGAATCTCCTTGTCCATGTAAAGAGAAACTGGGGGTCTTGATGTCAGGACCCAAATGAAATCTACCAGCTCCAGTGAGAAGTGGAGAATCATCAGTCCTAGTACTGAAGTAGATTGATGTCTACTTACCAGAGGTGCATGATATTTGCAGTGGCTTCTGTGAGAGTCCTTGACTGAGAGAGTCCCATCCATGTTGCTGGACGAGATATTTGGGGTCCACTTTCCCCGGGCTAATAATTATATAAACCTTTGAATCCCTGTATTAAAACATTCCTATGGAATATGTAGACAGAATTCCATTTTTCCTGACCAAAAACAAGATACTTATGAAAGGACATAAGTATGACATGAAACTATCAACAGTGTTATTCAACAATATTCTGTCTGGGGGAGAAAGATTGAAATAGAAGGTATCTGTTGTTGAATAGCTATTGCAGGGTTATTTGACTTGTTAAGCTATGTGCATATATCCTTATTTACCAGCATTGATTTTGAAAGAATAAGAAGACTGGGTTTGGGATTTAGGTGGTTACCATTGTAGAGAAAGTAATATCAGGAAGCCAAGGCCATTGTTTCAAGAGTATGTAGTGCTCTTCTACAGAGATGAGCATGCATGAGGTAGAGCTTTTCCTGAAAGGCCCACATGTCTTTGGAGAGCAGTAGATGAAAGTTTACACTCAAGCTTGCCTTGGGGGTCAAGTCCAAATATGTGTCTCAAAAAATAGTATTGTTTGTGTAACTTCTGTTATTTTTTACGGCACAATGTTCTTATTATATGACTATTGGCACAGTGCACGAATTCGTGCACATCAAAAGGAAATTTATTGGAAGAGATATTTAATATCACTATTCACCCTTTCTATACAACAGAAGTGTCAACCAAAATCACAATCGACAATGACAGATTGAAACACACAAGTGTGATTGGTGCCAGTGAGAGCTTTATATGTATTGCGCATGTGCGAGTCAATTTAGCCTTTTATATATATACTAGAGGCCCGGTGCACGAAATTCGTGCACTGGGGATGGGTGGGGGGTCCCTTAGCCCAGCATGTGCCCTCTTGCAGTCCGGGACCCCTCCCTTGTTACTGCCCACCTGCTTGCTGCTTCCTACCGCTTGGCTTGCTGCTCCTTAGTGCTGCCACGAAGGCCTTGGGTCTGCTGGGTGCCGGGCCTGCGGGTTTGTGTCTCTGATACCCCCAGCAGCCCCAGCACCAAGGTGGCGGGCCTTGGGGCTGCTGGGTACAGGAACCCCCGTTGCGTGTTTATGTCTTCTATCAGGCCCCCAGCAGCCCCAGCAGCCCCAGCACCACCTAAATAACTTAAGGGAAACTTTATTTAGTCTTCTTTTAAAAGCAATCTAGTTTAAAAATGAGTTGCAGTTAAGACAGAACAAAGAACATGGTACCTAAGAGTGAGATAGACTGACAGAGGAGAGGCTGGGCACTGGTCAGGGGCTTACATGCCAACTGTTCTCCACCTGGGAAATGATGTAAAATCGGTTTCTTTAGTTTTCTGCTTAATGGTCTTCTCCAGCACTGAGGTCAGAGGAGCCGCCTTCCAGCCCGTAGGCTGCTTCTCAGAGTCAAAAATTTCGCCATAGGCCTCTGCCTAGGACAGGACCTCTGAACCCCCAGGGTGCATAAACACACAGGGATCCATCAGGCTCCGCTGATCCCAGGCCAGGAGGAATAACATATAAAACCTAAAATAACACTAACATGTAGGTATGCTGCCTCTGTAACTGCTCATTGCAGAACAACTACTGAACACTATTTTTGCTTTTCTGGAAACCCACTCCTACATACAGAGAAGAAACTGATAATTTCCAGAGGGGATGGGGATGAGAAGATGGGTGAAAAAAACTGAAGGGTAGTAAGAGGTATAAACTCCCAGTTATAAATCAGTCATGTGGGTGTAATGTACAGCACAGGGAATATAGTCAATACTAGTGACCCGGTGCACGGATCGTGCACATTGAAAGGAAATTAATTAGAAGAAATATTTTAATATCGCTATTTGCCCTTTCTCTATAATAGAAGTGTCAACCAAATTCACGATCGACAGTGACAGACAGAAATGCACACGTGCTATTGGTGCCAGCGAGAGCTTTATATGTATGGCACATGCATGAATCAACTTAGATATATATATATAATAAACTTGCTTAATTAGACCTGCTTTCTGATTTAGCTAAACTTCTTCCAGCCCTGTGAAACACCCCAACTTCTCTTTCTGGTATTGTCAGCAACACAGCAGTAAATATCAACACAAAGCAGATTATTATTGTAGATCACTCAAGGAGAACAAAGGGTAAAATATTTAACTACAGCAGTGTTTGACTATATTCTGCGCATTGAGAAAACCTGAAGTAATTTTCAAGGTCTACCATTTCTTACTTCTTTTCAGTTGGGTCAAGTTTCCAAGCTTTCTAAATTTTCATTTTCTGGCTAATGAAAAGAAAATAGAATTCTACCAAGTCTCCTATCTACCTATTCCAGTACTTCTGTGAGAATCAAATGAGATGAGGCATAGAAAAATGCTTCACAGACATTTAGTTAAAGTGTGAAATGTTTCCACTTAGCTATAAAGCAAGTCATGTTCCAGGGCGGTAGGAAATACAAGGAGGCTAGTCACTAGAGAAAGGAAGGTGGGCATTGCTATGGGACGTCATTACCTGGACAGACACTTAGCATATTAGCTCTCTCTCTCTCTCTCTCTCTCTCTCTATTGGTTTAGGTCCGACCCTGCAGGGATCCCTGAGGGTCAGGCCTAAATCGGCAGTTGTTGGACATCCTCACAATCTGGGACCACTGGCTCCTAATGCTCACCTGCCTGCCTGCCTGATCACCCCTACTGGCCCCCCTGTCAGCCTGATCACCCCTCACTGCCCCGCTCTGCTAGCCTGGTGACCCCTCACTGTCCCTCCCCTGTCGGCCTGATCTCCCCATGCAGCCTGATGCTCAGTCGTTTGGTCATCCCTCACTAACCCCTGGCTGGCCTGGTTGCTCCACTCAGCCTGTTCAGTTGTCCATTTGGTTGCGATGGCCCCTGGCTCTCTCTCTCTCTCTCTCTCTCTCTCTCTCTCTCTATA